AGGGGCCCGTTCGCGTTTCCATGCACATGTGAAAGTCTTCATGCTGCGTAAGCGCTAAAATGAATGTGCATTCTTTTGTAAGTAAAAATAGGATTTCCATAAAGCCTAGAAAAACATGCCTGTGTTATTTCTATAACCAGTGTTTGACCAGTGAAGATTGATGTTTGAGAAGTGTGCGTGGCAAGGCGTGTAAACCCTAAAGGAATTTAAACTTCTTAACCCTTTGTTAATCCTTTCTATTTCCCATTTCTGTCTCCCTCAGTGGTCGTTTGGAGTTACCATGTGGGAGATCGCCACGAGAGGCCAGACTCCGTACCCTGGGGTGGAGAACAGTGAGATTTATGATTATTTGAGACAGGGAAACCGTCTCAAGCCGCCTCCAGATTGTCTGGACAACATGTGAGTGTGGACTACTTAACCTTCACATTCTTCATAAAGAACGTACTCAGCTGATGATATAGTATCTTGGAAATCTTTTACCTCCTGTTGAGGATTACATTTTTGCCATTAAGTCAGAAAATGTTTTGAATGTTACCTACAGATTATTATACACAGTTTAAGAATTTAAGTGAACCTAGATATAGAATTCCTAATACGAACAGCTTGTATTTTTTTATGGGATTTCTTATTTCATATTGAGAAGCAGTCTTTTGCTTTATTTTAAGTAAACACATTACCAAACAGGTTTAATAAGTTCATAACGATGTGCAAGGAAATTCCCCCCAAATAATGCATTACTTGCATCTAATTTCTAATACTAAAAACAGGAAACATTTGAAAGATTTTTCAAGATCTACAGCAAGAAACAAATGCATTCAGGAGTAAAAATTACGATTTTAAGAATAGTTATTCTAACTAATATACTGTTTGTGAGGAAAGTAAATAATAATTTGTATTTGTATTTAATGAATAAGTGCCAAATGAAGTTTTCCTGTCCTAGATATTCCCCTAGATAGGCCCTGTTCACTATAATGTTTTTCACAGTCTTCCACAATGTGCTAACATTAATGACATGTCCTCTCCTCCTCTCCAGCTACGCCCTGATGTTCTCCTGCTGGCTGCTGAGCCCCAAGGACCGGCCGTCCTTCGAGGCGCTGCACTGTCAGCTGGAGAAAGCTCTGGAGGATCTGCCAGACACCCAGGATCCCGAGGAGATCCTGTACGTTAACATGGACGAGTCTTCCATAGAGCTCGGGGCCGTCGGTGGCCGTGATCCCATGGGGGGGCCGTCCCCTCTCTGCCTGAAGGGCCTGGACTCTGTGACCACGGTGGAAGTGCACCACCCAAACCGCTACGTCCTCTGTCCCCAACACGAGACCACCCGGCCCCTCTCTGAGTCCCTGGAGAGCCTGGACATGCCGGTGTCGTCTGCCACCGCCACGCTGCCTCAACAACCGTCCTGCCATTCCACCCCCAACCCAACCCCAGCGCCCACCCCGACTGTGGAGCTGCTGGAGTACAGGGAAGGCTCTAGAAAAATGCCGTGGCAGTGATGGCGTCACCCATAAAAGTCTGGCCAAAGTGTGCCATCCTTAAACCCCGGTCCAAGAAGTAGATCCTCTTGCTACTGACTGCGTGAAACCTAAAGTGCCCCTAAGTAGATATTTTTGCACAAACACACACAAAGCATTCCAAGGAAGTGAAGAATTGGGATTATTTCCTTTGTTAACCCTTATGCTTCTGTTTTGAGCACATTTCCAAGAGAGTGTGAAAAGTGTAGCCAGAGGGACACTGTTACCAACGGGGTGATCTGGTTTAGAGCACATGTCGTTGAACTCGTACACTGCAGCACAATCAGAGAAACCCAACTCCCCGTCGCTATAGCAATACAACTACCGGTACACAGCAGATCGATCTCCTTCACTTGAAGCTCAAGAATCTGATCGTGAAACCAGCTCAGACACTGCCAGCCTGAATCTACAACTAAACAAACTCAGCAGCTTGGACGCTAAAAAGCGCTAACGTGGAATCCCTGATAACTCAGCAAAAAGAAAACTGAGGACTGAAGAAAAAATTGACAAATGTCTGCCTACATTGATACCGTTTATGAAGGGCGATAAGGAAGGTTATTTTGAGCTACATATTTCTTCTACTTTGAGCTGTGTTTTGTCATGATGATAAGATTTTCTCTCCCCACAGAAAGCCGACTGAAGTTAGAAGACCTTTGCCCTTAAGCTACAGAATATGAATGAAATTGAAATTTAAACAACTAATTAATAAAAAGAGACCATCATCTGCAAAGAAAATAACATTCCACTCAGGCTATAAGAGCTGGTTCGAATCCGAAATCTCCATTTCCGTCCAAATGTAGCGCTACTAATCCCAGACACTTTGCATTTAGCACCTTGAGCCATTTTCAGTTCACACAAGGCACCTCTTTCCTCTCTAACAACCTGTGAAAGTCCTGATTCAACTAGTCGATAAATCTTCGTCTTAACTCAGGAAGCGGAGAGTTAGACTTTGTAGGTACTGGTCCAATGAATAGGGTACAGATAATCCAGGGCAGATGGATGACTGAGGATAGGTACGGACAGGATGGAGTTATCCAGGGCAAACTGTGGGATAAGCTCCTCCCCTTTGCTTTTGGCTCAAGCACAGTGTTATTACATATTTTGTAAAAAAAAGAAAAATGTAATGCTGATTTTTGTATTTCTACGACTTTGCACTAATGTTGGTTTTTATATCCTTGTATGTTTGTTTATAGTTTGTATATCTTTTACGCTTTTTTGTATTTTGTGTTGTTATTACTTTTCTCAAGTCATCTTGCGGCATCTCGCATAAAATCTTTGCATATAAAGGCAGAGAACGAAGCCTGTGAAAGCATATCAGGGCGATTCTTTTCTGTAAATGTGCAAAAGACTGGGAAACATGACTAACCTCGTCGTCTGACATCTGACTCTCTCTTCCTGGGATATTTCCATTTCTCGAGGTTCAACACTGTAAATAGAAGTGTGGTACCACACAGATACAAAGTGTGTATATCCAAACCTCTGCTTTGAGGTCCACTAGCTGCAACTTTGCATCATGCATGCACTTATTCTTTATATACGTTTATATATATTTGCTTTACTTCATGATTTTGTAATTGGAATGGACCATATTCCTTCACACTTTTTCTGAGAATTGGCTGTGTTTCTCAGATGTTTACATCAAAGGTACTCAATTACAACACAGTATATAGTGTAGCATTACTGAAATCATTGTTAAAGGGCCCATGTCATGCTTTTCCGGTTATTACCCGTCCCCTTGTGTGTTATGAAGGTTTTTCTGCATGTAAACGGTCTGCAGAGTCACAAACCCTCAAAGTACACCCTGTAGCGAGTAAAACTCTGAAACAGAAAAAACCTGTCTATGCTGCCCCAGAACGCCTCGTTGGAGATTTCTCTTTTTCCGTTGTTTCCTTCCTGGGTTCTGTGACGTGTTAACACCCAAATCAACAACAAATTACCGGATTGGTCCATTTGGGCCAACAAGCCGTTTAGGACAGAGAGTGAATACCTGGTGAATACACATACTTTACAGAGATGCTGTATGAGAAACCAATGTGAGTTTGGAAAAGTGCACAATTTAAATCTAATCTAGTAGTCTAGTCTCAACAATGGAATTATGATCAGTAGAAATGGCCATGACATGGGACCTTTAAGACAGATGTAAAGTTCTCCTAAAGCTGCATTCACATGACACATGATTTGCTCTTTGCTCAGCCACTAAAGTTTTGTTTCTATATTTATGTACCCTGCTAGTATGCGGCACCACATACAGCTTTCATTGAATTGGTTGCGTATCAAAAGATTATCATTAAATGTGGAAAAACTTAAAATAATTTGAACTTTTGAGTACCACTCGGCGACAATCGCGTGACGCCGAGGGTAGAAACACAACGTCAGCACAGCCGTATTACTGCTTTTCATGTGAATGCAGCTGAAGACATGTGCTACTGTATTCTCACTGAGGAGTCATACATTGTTTTTGAACAACAGAAAGTGACACTGGGGCACTCCTATAATTTGGTCTGTATAAATACTTCGATGCTGACTCATACTGCATTACATAAGCATTGTTTTTGAAACATTTTGGTCTTAAACCTTTCTTTGTGGAAAAAAAGACTTAAATTCCTTCATGATTACAGTCTGGTCAGCCTTAAGTTTTTACCTTCAGTGCCTTCAGAGAGCCGGTGTTCTGCTTTGCAGTGAATGTCTGTTTGGATTGTGATTCTCCTGTAACAAGTTGGGAGAAGACTGTACTTTAACTGCCTTTATCTTGTGACTATCATGATTTGTAAAGTTTTATATACCTACCTACAGTATTTTGTACAAGAAATAAACATGTTTATCATGAATCAGCCCTGAGCTTTTATGTGTTCAATATTAAAGGTGCCCTATTATGCTCATTTTCAGGTCCATATTTGTAGTTTGTGCCTCTCCTGTGACATGTTCAAAAGCCCTTTCATTTTTCTCATACTGCCGGTGCTGCATCACTTCTTTTCACCCTCTGTCTGAAACCAGAGCGCAGTCTGCTCTGATTGGTTATGTGTTCCGGCCCTTAGCCTATCACAAACAGTGTGTTGGAGCACAAGTGACAGTAAGGCCACTTTCGCAGGGGAGTAAACAAAGGAGTCCAATGCAGGCATTTCAGGGGGAGTATGTGGGAGAGAAACTCCCTCTGGAGGGAACACAGGGATTTTAGCCTTTGCAGACCATTTACACAAACAAACACCTATAGAACACACTCCAGGAAGGTAAAACCCCAAAAAGCAGAATAGGGCCCCTTTAATACTATTAAACATTTTTTTTTGTTTATTTACTCAACAATACAGCAGATGTTGAGATCACTGTTGAGGTTGTCTGGTTTATTATCGAAAAGCAAGAAACTGCTAATAAACAACACAGTGTCTGACATGTCAGCTAACAGCTGAAAAACACTTGAAATGTTTGAATAATGTTCAGAAAGTATAGTATCTAATAAGGGTGTTTTTCCTCAGAAGTGGATGTAGGAGATCTGCACGTCGCCATCTATCTCCAGCATGTCCACCTCATTGAAGGACTGCAGGCGGTGGACAAAGTCGAACAAGTGCTGCCCGTTCACAAACACTTTGAACCTCTGGTTCCCGCAGCGGATCGACATCTGAGACACAGAGGCAGAAAATTAAGCGGATTATAGGCCTGCAACAATTATTTTATATTATCAGGTAATTGTTTTGGCTATAAAATATCAGAAAATAATTTAAAACGTCCAATGTGGTTAATCAAAGTCCACTTTTAAATGTCTTGTTTTGTCAGCCCAAAACCCAAAATGATCAACTTTAATGTGATACAACATTGAACAGAAAAGACCAGAGGAAAGAAGTCCTATTTGAGAGGCTGTAAACAGCATTGTTCTTCAATATCAAATAAAATCATATACAGTATATCAAATATCACAAAACTTAAAAAATTGTTTTCTTTCCATGGACTAAAGTAACGATTAGTCAAGTCCAGTAGTTTGACTAACGGCCCGTCCACACACAGGCATGAAAAAAATCTTGAAAAATCTTGATGCTGGTCATGTCTGTAGCTTGGCGATTTCACGCGCCCAAGGCGACCAACAACCAATCAGGAATCTCCCAGGAATCTCCCGCCCGCCCCCGGCATACAAAGCCTGTCCATTCAATGTTAAAACGAAGTAAACTGGATATAAACTCCCCAAACAGGTGAAAACCTAACAGTTTCACCAACTGTCTCTGCCACCTCCCTCCATGCCTGGTTCCTCCGGTTTAGGTCCCGGTAGGTGGACAGAGAGCAGTCGTAAAGGACAGGGACATTTCCTACAGCGATGATTAATTTATCCTCCATTTTATGACATATGGAAAAGACCGCAGCGATATCTGCATACAGTACACGCGGTTTGATTGGCTAGCGCTTGCACTGGCGGGATTTGCATAAACGGGATTTGATTGGCTGATGCCAGCTTTGAGCATCAAAAGTTGAACATTGCTCAACTTTTGATGCTCACGATGCTTGCAAAGCCATGCTCCGCTCCCCAAAATGCAGTTCGGCGAAGATTAAAAATCTTCGACGTCACCCCATTCAAGTGAATGGGCGAAGCTTTGAAATATTTTTTTCATGCCTGTGTGTGGACGGGCCGTAATCAAACTGCAGGGTACTGGATTGCAGCTATCCAATGTGAAATACATATTTAGAACTAAATATGAGGTCAGTGTGACAGATTCTACTTACATCAAAGTACTGTCCCTCCATGAAGGGGTTCATGTTCATCTCTCTGTCCTCCTGGCCCCAGGTCCCTCCGATCATGCTGTTCCTCACCACGACCCCCTCCCTTACCCGGGGGTTCATGTGGAAGGCGATGTCCCGAGATCTGCTCACCAGGAAGTTGATGCACAATCTGCAACACACAGAAATCAGTGTGATCGATGTCTGTTTGCACTCACACTCTAATGACGTTAGTGTGTGTAATCACTAATAACACACGTGTTGGCTCCATAGGGCAACATCCCTCTGACGATGATGGTCCTCTTAGGGTACATGCCTCCTGGGATCATGTTAGAGTACGGTATGGGCTAAAAACACGAAGCAAAAACTCAATTAGACAGGTAATATCCAAACAAGACTGAAATTCCACAGCAACACTGGTGGCCCTGTGAGGCCGGATTCTTATAGGAGACAGTTCTACTGGGTTTATCTGTGCACTGATCATTTTGGGACACTTAACTTGCCAGGCTAAGTTTTAAGATGTTATACTAAGCTCAGCCTTCAAATGCATTTAACGGAACAAATAACTTCACAGCTTTGAGCAGAATGCCACAGGGGACATCTTTAGTTACGACAGTGAAATGAAAAATGAATTTGCTTAACTTGAATGAGTTCATTGTTTTGCCACACAAGGTCAAATAGCAGAGCTTCAGGTAATTCACTGTATTATCAGTGTTGGTGTGCAATGAGGTCTGATTGACTAGACACATGTAATGCATTCTGTTCTGTTGCCACAAGAGGGCAATTATTGCATGTTTTAAAATAGAAGTTGAAAATAGTTGTTTGAAAGACCATTGTTTAAAGGTAGCCCAATGACGCTCTTTAGGCTGCCATTGCTGGTAATAGAAATGATCATCATCCCCTACAAAGCAGAATGGTATTTAGACCCACCCCAGCAGTTCCCCCATCAGCTGTGGTGCAGAGCAACTGAGCTGCCGCCACAGGTGTCAACACCTACAGTAGTAGCTGGTGGGCAAAACAGGCAGCAAATACACCAAATACTATTAAAAAGGTTAGTGAACTTCAAATGAGTGTTGACCAAATTGTACTTACAGGGTTGTAGACTGGCTGCCCGCCCATGCCCTATAATCAGAGTAACAGATATAATATTTAAATTGGAGTAGCAGAAGGAATCAAATATACATAGGGCTTTATTATCTCATGTAGTGTTCTCACCGGCAGGTTTGATCCTGGGAATCCACCCTGACAGGAAAAAAAAAGTAAATCAACTGAATAAGATATGTTGTTCACACAAACTACTTTTTTATATACACATGCTATGAACACATGATGTAAGTCAAAAATAAATCGGTTATAATAATATTTTTGACATACCCCCATACCACCTCCCATGTCTCCTGGATAACCTCCCTGTAAAGAAGCACATGGTATTGTTCAGTGATTTGTTGTGAATTATTGAGACTTTTTTTGAAGTTATTTCGAGATACATGTGGCATTGGTGAAGAGCAGAAATAGTTTATACTTATTTTATTATTATTATTTTTTATAAGAAATGTATTCACCCCCATGCCACCGCCTGGACATCCTCCCTGTTGAAAAGAGGTAAATGTGTCAAATTCTGTTTAGTGATGTATTTCATTTAGTTTGACAAAATCTTCAGCCTAAATGTATTTACTTCCATGCCTCCTCCCATGCCTCCTCCCATACCTCCTCCCATATCACCTGGGTATCCTCCCTGTGTATCAGTTAGAACGAGCAAGGAGAAGTGAAAATGATGCCCGCTGGTTCTCATATATTTACAGTATTTTTGAAAGGAAACTGCACTTAAAGACAAACGGAACATACCCCCATGCCACCTCCTGGGTACCCTCCCTGTTAAAAGTGGTGACCATGTTACATCCAGTCCAGTGCTGATTTGAATTGCATTTTCATCTTTATAGTATACTTACTTCCATGCCTCCTCCAATGCCTCCTCCCATACCTCCTCCCATACCTCCTCCCATGCCTCCTCCCATGCCACCTGGATATCCTCCCTAGAAGACCAAACAGAAGTGTAAAACTAAACAAACATCACAAAACCAATAAAGACAATCTTTGTAAAGTACACATACAAAAAGTTGACGAACACTATTTGTTTACCACACAATCATATGTAATACTATGCATGAATACACTTGCTAACAACTCTTCTGCAAGTTCTACTACTGGCACTATTTTTGGCAGCAGTTTGCATTAAAACTTGTAAACATGTAACAGTAGGGTTTATATATTTAACAGTTGTAATAACAGGGCATTTGCTGCAACTTAATATTACACATTTGTCATTGAACATTAAAGTTTAAATTCACATTTTTATATTCAAACCTAGCAAGTTGAAGCAAGCACACACATTTATTAAACCCAGTATTAGCCCAAAGCATTATTCTGAAACAGCGGGGACGTCACACCCCAATGACGTTTATGGTCTGGATGCGAACATCTCCTGCGATCTGCATGGCACGAACCCTCTGCACGGGGAGGCGGTGCTCGAAGGTGTAGAAGTCATTCCCGTCGACTTTGATCTGCAACAGGATCATCAAATGTGCAGCAGAGTTGGCCATCAAATCAAATCAAGTTTTATTTACATAGCACATTTATAAAGGATTTTTGGTCGAGCCAAAGTACTGTACATATAATAAAAATAGCCTACAGCAGAGACACTTTACAGCGAATACAATAAGCACAGATTGTGCCATGGCATTTGTGTGGTCCAAAAAGTAAGAGTAAGAAATGCAGAGTGAATATGTTTAAATGTTACTTCTCAAAGCTAAAAACCACAAACAATCCTGCCGTAGAACAAAAGCTTAAAAAAGTTCAACTTGTCTTTATCAAAAGATGACAGCTTACTATAAATCCTTAAGTAAAAAGCATTAAGTAAATGTTTTTATAAAAAACTACAATTGAGTTATTATTGGTCAACAACTATATCTCCTGTGGATGCCTATAAGTGAAAGTCTGTATCCTTAATGATGAGTGACAATGATAATACTTGAAAAAGAATAACAAATATTTCTTTATTGCAGAAATTAAGTGAGTGTTAACAAATATGTTAACACTGAAAATGCCCTTATATGTTCTTACATCTACTTAATTGTTCCTTGGGGTCAAATATTGACATTTTGTCTCAACTATCAACCTCTGATGCCTATGCGCAAAGCACTCTTTAGAATCTCTATCTGACACACCAGGTCTACGGTACGGTATTGAGGTGTATGCAAGCCACTTAAATAGAAAATGTAAAAGCTAAATGACAGGTAATGAATGTGTATTGCATAGAACCATTCATTAAAGGTTTAATAGAAAACATGTTAATGTGAAACAGGGGGTTAATCTAAAGTGGTACACAGAGAACATTGTGTTAGAGCTCCTGGTTGTTCTGACCTCGTAGCCTCGTGAAGTTGCCAGGATGACCATTTCGAAGGCTTTGCCTTTACAGAAGGGCATATCATGAGTCTTGTGCTCACTGCCCCAGGATCCCCCTTCACACGAGTTGAAGACCACCTTGTCCCATCCGTCAAATCGAGGGTTGAAGTGGAGGGCGAGGTCGCTGGACTCAGACTCTCCACATAGCAGGTTGATATAGAACCTGCCAAAGGAACAGCAGAGACATTCTGTCACTGAGTCCTCTAGTGACTGATATGTTGGATTAGTGTTAGGAAACAGAAATGCAAACAGTGCAGGTGGGGCAGACTGGAAATAAATCTCTCCCAACAAAAGAGCCTAAGATGTTACGATACAGTCAGGTATGTGCAGTGTTTACCTTGCCTGTTAATGGCCTGTAAAATGACCTCTGATATTACCATTTTGAAAAAGGAGGTAATAAAAGTGGAGTGATATTAAGCAATGCAAAGAAACCTGCTCCACCCAGATTACACACGGTGTTCCAATAGTAAAAAAAGATTTTGGTTGAAAAGTGCAATAAACTTATACAAGTGGACCTTGAGTTGACATTTTTTCAAGATTAAGAATTATTTTCGAGATAGGTTAGAGATGTAAACTCACCTGGTAATATCCTCAGGAATGGACCCCTGGATGTAGATTGACACACCCTCCCTCAGGCCCCCATGAATGGGCCCCAGATAGGGAATATTCTGTGCAGTGCATAAGAATATTAATCCACACTGTGCAACGCTCCCAGGCTCGCAAAAATAAATCACATACATTAAATATGCAGTAAATAAGTATTTTACAAATGTAAGTTCTGGAAGATATTATATATATATATATATATATATATATATATATTGTACTCTTTTAGTTCTTTTTTGAGATTATTTTCTTTTCTAACCCTAACCTAACCATATTTTAAATTAGTTTATTTTCAACTCTTTTTTATTTCAAATGTTGGCAATATTTTGTTTTACATCTGCTGCAACTAAAACATTTCCCAAATTGGGATCAATAAAGTATATTTTAACTTATATTATATTATTTGGAGTGTCCATAAAAATGTGTAGTTTGACTTCACTGTTTACAATCTTTGGATGCAGTGTCGGGAAAGAAAGTACGGTACATTTACTATACTATACTTTTGATGGTTTTACCTTCCCTATTGTAAAGACTATATGTGTTTTTATTAACATCATATTATAATTATTTCACAAAATAAATGTTGTGCACATGTTGCTTTTTTAACAAATCCAATTAATCAATTAATGTTAATTCAAAGAGAGCATCCAATGATGACTGACCAGAATGGTAGTCAATCAAGCGTATTTAAATTAACAGCTTGATGCATCCAACATATTTGATCTCTAGTATGTGAACACAAAATATTCCCTATGATATAATGTGTTCAATTCAATAAAAATTGTCTGGAAAACAAGGAAACATAAAGACGCGTTCAAAATATTTCCAGCAACAATTTTACCGGCAGTGAAAACCCAAGGGAAAAATGGGCACAGGTCATATGCATGGCACTGACTGGAGACCACCATCACTACCGCGGTTTAAAGGGCACACTTCCTCAATGACACTCATTTTCTTTAGGTGTGGTGAAAACTGAGCATTTTTTTTTTCTTAAGCATGCACTAGATAGTTTCTTGAAATTGCAGAGTAGTGCAAGAGTGTAGGAACAGATAGTGCGTTCAATTTGATAGCCTAACAAGAATGCTATACGGGCATATTCCCTGTGTAACACACATTATACAGAGGGCTACCACAGTGTCTCTCCTACAGCGGCTTATCCCTGCAATGCCTCACTCAGCAGCAGATACTCACAGGGCCGTAGATCGGCTGGTAGCCAGGAGGAGCAACGAAGGACATGGCAGCAGTCAGTGGGACGGACAGACTCAGGAGGGGGTCAGTCAGGAACTGATCTATGTGGGAGTCCACATTTTATACAAGTGATGAGGGAGGGGCAGAGCAGGGTACCAAACCCAGACCTGCATCACCGTGTTTACTTTAGAGGCACAGGATGCAAAGTGTCCATTGACCGAGAAGAGGAGTGGCACGGTTCAACAAAACGACAGTGTTTGTTTATGTGAGGCGAGAAAAACCAACCTGGCTGAACAGCTTTTGAAGCAACAAGTAACCCTTGAATGGCAGGAGAGGAAGTACTCAGATACTTTACGTAAGAAAAAGCAATAAAATAAAAGTGCATGAAAAAGTGATGCATTGTAAGGGAAGTAAAAGTACACAAGTATTATCAGCTAGCTAGCTTCCCCAAACTAGCAAACATTGCAATAATTTCCCCTCAGTGTAACACTGTCATATATTAAGTTTCCATGTTATTACTACTGATATATAACTAACTATCTAACTAACTAACAATTTCATATTTTGTATATATGGCACTTCATAAAAACGTATATTTGAAAAGCTCTTTACATGTTTTGTCTGCAAAATCTCAATGTGTTAATGAACTGGTACCCAAAGCTGCAAATAAGAATAATGGAGTTAACGTATCCCTCTGACAATTAGCAAAGTAGAAGTATAAATAAGCATGGATTCCTGAACCTTACACAGTGAGAAAAAACTGCCATTATTCCTTTATTTTATCAGAGGATTTGTTTGTGGTGGAAAAGACTATAAATCTTGAATTTGAAGTGGAGGGCTGTGAATGATGCCAGTACACTAAATCAGAAACCAGATATCGTTTTCTTTCTGAAGGGAATTGTAGGAGGGTCTATGTATGATTCATAAAATATCCCCCCGCCTGCCTAACTTAAGGCAAACAGAAACACAAGTAACTCTTATCTAGAACTCACCTTTATATACATCATTCCTGGAGGCAGTATGCAAATTATTTACGAAGTCAGCATACAAGCTGTTCATATGCACTCATACATAATCTGTCAGGAAACAAAAGCCTGTCTCACTGACACATGGGTGTTTCCTTTCATGTTTACAGCGCAACAATCCACTTTTGGTATTTGATTAAGATAACGTGCCGTAACGATTTGTCAGGGGATTGGTTAAGTATGTAAGGCTGTCCATTATTAGTGGATTATATGTCATTATAATGTAAAAAACTGAATTTGACTTTAAAAATACATGTACTTATGGTTTCTGCATTGTGACTCTAAAGTTGTATTGTTTTAATCTAATGAATATATTCTATTGCACATATGAAAATGTTTAGGGACAGGTCAGTCTGAAAAACCACAATGTAACAAATAATGAAACACAATATTCCGAACAAAGTCATTAACTGTATGTAAATGTACTAGAGATGTCCCGATCCGATCACGTGATCGGGGATCGGAGCCGATCACGTGATTTTCAAAAGATCGGAATCGGGAGAAAAAAGATCGGGGATCGGGATTTTTTTTTTTTTTTTAAATACTTTTTTTAAATGTTGTATTCAATGTTACAGAACAAAAATGACAATGGTCAAGTCTTAAAGTCATCCTGAGGCCTTAGTTTTGGTTTCAAATTACAGAACATCATGTATGTGTTGCTTCTTTGGGGCTTGTTTTCATAGACCTGGTTGCTTATTTCTCTCAAATCTGGCAACAGAGTGGGCAGGGCGCAGTGTCTAATTGTAGCAGTAAGTTAACGAGTACTGAAAGCTTTATTTTGTTTTGATCCAATGCTNGGCCTCTCATATGAAGCACACTTGCACACTTGCTCGCCTGTTCCACTCTTCGTTTTCCGAATGCCAGGAAGTATTCTTGCCTCGCTTCTGAAGCAAGTGGCTCGGAAGACATGTGCTACCAAGCAAGCGTACTCGAGATTGAGAAACACCCTCTGTCTGAAACCAGAGCCCAGTCTGCTCTGATTGGTTAGCTGGCCGACTCTGTTGTGATTGGTCAACCGCTTAGGCTAAGGGGCGGGACATCTCTATCACGTACAATGTGTTG